AGTATCTCAAAATATTAGAATATTTACATTTGAGTTTCATTAAATGACCATCCCTACAGTATAAATTCTTGGTATCTCTTGTTCTTTGAAACCACAATAATGGGTAAGACTGCTGACTTGGCAATGGTCCAGAAGACAATCATTGACACCCTCCTCAAAGAGGGTAAGTCACAGAAGATCATTACTGACTGCTGTATCAAAGCATATTAAATGCAAAGTTGACTGGAAGGAAGAGATTGGTTAGGAAAAGGTGCACAAGCAACAGGGAGGGCCGCAAGCTTGAGAATACTGTCAAGAAAAGCTGATTCAAACACTTGGGAGAGCTTGACGAGGAGTGGACTGAAGCTGGAGTCAGTGCATCAAGAGTCACCACGCTCAGACGTCTTCAGGAAAAGGGCTACCAAGCCACTTCTGAAACAGAAACAATGTCAGAAGCATCAATGGTCCAAAGTCCTTTTTTCAGATAAAAGTAAATTTTGCATTTCATTTGGAAATCAAGGTCTGGAGTATGGAGGAAGACTGGAGAGGCACAGAATCCAAGCTGCTTGAAGTCCAGTGTGAAGTTTCTGAAATCAGTGATGATTTGGGTTGCTGTGACATCTGGTGGTGTTGGTCCATTGTGTTTTATCGAGTCTAAAGTCAATGCAGCCGTCTACCAGGAGATTTTGGAGCACTTTATGCTTTCATCTGCTGACAAGCTTTATGGAGATGCTGATTTCCTTTTCCAGCAGGACTTAGCACCTGCCCACAGTGCCAAAACCACTTCCAAATGACTTGCTGACCATGATATTACTGTGCTTGATTGGCCAGCCAATATGCCTGACCTCAACCCCATATATCCTGGTTCCGAACCAGCCCCAAAACCTTGCTGGTCGAACTTTTCTATGACATCAGTAGGTGGAGCTTTCACTACAGACCGCAGTTTGAAAGGAGCCATTAGGCTTGTTCGAGATGCATCGGCGCTATGTACAGTGATCTGCATATGCAATCAAAGTACCATGAGTGCAATTAGAGAGCAGACGACTCTTTATGCTTTTGCTCTCGCGGTACTTTGATGTACATACACCGATTGATTTACGCGGCGCTTGATGCATCACGAACAAGCATTTTAAAAGCCGTCGGAGTTCAGGTAAATTAACAACATTAACACAACAATTAAATATGTCAGTTCAGAAATGGCCGACAGAAGAGCTCTCCTTCCGCAAGAGATAACAAGCGATTGCGGTCACATGTTGTGACGTAGAGGGTTCTGTTCCCTGCCAGTGGAAACGCGAGCCGGTTCTGAACGAGTGCTACTTTTGGCCGAGCACCGGTTCCAGCTCTGGCACCAGCCCCCGTGGAAAAGCGTTAAGGCTGATCGCTTCCATGCCACACCGCACTGATGCTGTCATTTGTGCTAAAGGAGCCAAGTACTGAGTGCATAAATGAACATACTTTAAAGAACTTGAACTTTCCTGTTTTGCAAATCCCTTTTTTGATTGATCTTAGTAAATATTCTAATATTTTGAGATACTGGATTTTTGACTTTCATGAGCTGTAAGCTCTAATCATCAAAATTAAAACAAATTTTTAAAAAAATGTTTTACTTTACATTTAATGAATCTAGAATATATGAAAGTTTCACTTTTTGAAATAAGTTACAAAAAATTAACTTTTTCCACGATATTCAAATTTTTTTTAGATGCATCTATACAAATATATAGATATAAGAAGAAACAGCAGATAAATATGTGAGCACAGTGAAATGGGGCAGACGTAATTAGGCTCCCAGGAATGTCTGTACCTTGTATGCGATGCTGTTGAGAACCTTCATGGCCAGATCAGAGACATCTGGAAATGGATCAACTGCAAGATGCAGTAGCACCCTCCAAATCTGAGTATTAACAAGCGATTACGGTCACATGTTGTGACGTAGAGGGTTCTGTTCCCTGCCAGTGGAAACGCGAGCCGGTTCTGAACGAGTGCTACTTTTGGCCGAGCACCGGTTCCAGCTCTGGCACCAGCCCCCGTGGAAAAGCGTTAAGGCTGATCGCTTCCATGCCACACCGCACTGATGCTGTCATTTGTGCTAAAGGAGCCAAGTACTGAGTGCATAAATGAACATACTTTAAAGAACTTGAACTTTCCTGTTTTGCAAATCCCTTTTTTGATTGATCTTAGTAAATATTCTAATATTTTGAGATACTGGATTTTTGACTTTCATGAGTAAAATAATGTGTGATTTCCATCAGAGGTTTGGTCTTAAATTTCATATAGGTGGTATTAAAAAGGTCTTAAAAAGTCTTAAATCTAACTTGTTCATATCTGATTAAGTCCATGAATTTGAGGGTATTGGACCTGGAAAGTCCTTGAAAGGTCCTTGAATTTGAAGTTAACCAAGGTGTGGGAACCCTGTTACTAGTGCTGATATAGACTAGTTTCCTGTGACCAATTCAACAGCACCATCTAGTGCTCAGTGTTAATTTCAAGTTCATTTCGTTTTCTGTGAATTTGCATAAAGCTCTTGAAATACTGTTTTTGTAGTTACCAATCATATTTATGAAAATGTTCTCCTCTTTTGCTTTTCAGTTGCGTTCCTTTCTTCAGATTAGGAAGTACAGTCTGGATTTAGCATCACTCATCCTGTTTTCTTACCAGCTCAGCACAGCTCTTGCATACCTGGAGAGTAAACGCTTTGTACACAGGTAAGTGTCCACGTCGTGCAGGCCATCATAATTGATAATGAACAGCACCCATTTCCTGTTGAACGTTTCTGCAGACAGGATCCCCATCTAGTAGCATTTCTGCGTGCATATTTATTATGGAAATAAGGTAGAAAGAACAGCTCTTATAGATGTCTACTCAGCACATTCTAAAGTAAAGTCTCTCTTTTTTTAGGGACATTGCGGCACGGAATGTTCTGGTGTCCTCAGTGGACTGTGTGAAGCTGGGAGACTTTGGTTTGTCGAGATACATGGAGGACAGCTCTTATTATAAAGGTATTAATGTACCCTCTTTAGTACAGATCAGAAAGCCAACACAAAAACATTATTGCTTCTGAATGTGAAACATTCAATATAATATAGTAAATTAAATATGAAAATTAAATTAATTGGATGATATTGAGTTACTACAAATCTAAGTTCTTTCCTACTTTAAATTGTGCAACAATTATGTTCACAAACCATAATAAAAAGAGTGTTATCATCCGCTTGTGTGAATGCTAATATAGTTTTAATTATCGTTATCTTTCTTGGTGTGAATGAGTCTTTACACCTGACTGAATGTACAGACTTCTACTCGTTTTCATTCACTCTCATTGTCTCTTTCTCTCTCTCTTCACAGCCTCTAAAGGAAAACTACCTATTAAATGGATGGCGCCAGAGTCGATAAACTTCAGACGTTTTACCTCAGCCAGCGACGTGTGGATGTTTGGTAAGTGAGTGTGTGTTTTACTTCGATGAATTCCTCTGTTAGAAACAGAGAAACTCAGTCTCATTTTTTTTACATTTAAGAAATTAAATATTACATTATACGTATTTAAAATAATGTGTGATTTCCATCAGAGGTTTGGTCTTAAATTTCATATAGGTGGTATTAAAAAGGTCTTAAAAAGTCTTAAATCTAACTTGTTCATATCTGATTAAGTCCTTGAATTTGAGGGTATTGGACCTGGAAAGTCCTTGAAAGGTCCTTGAATTTGAAGTTAACCAAGGTGTGGGAACCCTGTTACTAGTGCTGATATAGACTGTAGTTTCCTGTGACCAATTCAACAGCACCATCTAGTGCTCAGTGTTAATTTCAAGTTCATTTCGTTTTCTGTGAATTTGCATAAAGCTCTTGAAATACTGTTTTTGTAGTTACCAATCATATTTATGAAAATGTTCTCCTCTTTTGCTTTTCAGTTGCGTTCCTTTCTTCAGATTAGGAAGTACAGTCTGGATTTAGCATCACTCATCCTGTTTTCTTACCAGCTCAGCACAGCTCTTGCATACCTGGAGAGTAAACGCTTTGTACACAGGTAAGTGTCCACGTCGTGCAGGCCATCATAATTGATAATGAACAGCACCCATTTCCTGTTGAACGTTTCTGCAGACAGGATCCCCATCTAGTAGCATTTCTGCGTGCATATTTATTATGGAAATAAGGTAGAAAGAACAGCTCTTATAGATGTCTACTCAGCACATTCTAAAGTAAAGTCTCTCTTTTTTTAGGGACATTGCGGCACGGAATGTTCTGGTGTCCTCAGTGGACTGTGTGAAGCTGGGAGACTTTGGTTTGTCGAGATACATGGAGGACAGCTCTTATTATAAAGGTATTAATGTACCCTCTTTAGTACAGATCAGAAAGCCAACACAAAAACATTATTGCTTCTGAATGTGAAACATTCAATATAATATAGTAAATTAAATATGAAAATTAAATTAATTGGATGATATTGAGTTACTACAAATCTAAGTTCTTTCCTACTTTAAATTGTGCAACAATTATGTTCACAAACCATAATAAAAAGAGTGTTATCATCCGCTTGTGTGAATGCTAATATAGTTTTAATTATCGTTATCTTTCTTGGTGTGAATGAGTCTTTACACCTGACTGAATGTACAGACTTCTACTCGTTTTCATTCACTCTCATTGTCTCTTTCTCTCTCTCTTCACAGCCTCTAAAGGAAAACTACCTATTAAATGGATGGCGCCAGAGTCGATAAACTTCAGACGTTTTACCTCAGCCAGCGACGTGTGGATGTTTGGTAAGTGAGTGTGTGTTTTACTTCGATGAATTCCTCTGTTAGAAACAGAGAAACTCAGTCTCTTTTGCATGTTCAGACAATGAAAAGTTAGCATTAGCATTATGCATGCAGTGCATTTGGGACATTTCTAAAATGTGTGTAAAGAGAGCCTTTTGCAGAGTAGAATTGGAATTTTTCCATTCTGTGTGTGTAGCGACAGTTTAATGAATAGTGTAGATCAGGAAGTGACAGCTCTTGTTTTATAGCCACCTTTAATTAGTGCTAAAGTTGAATCATTAGAGGTGGAATCTTGCAGTTGTCTTCATGTGTATCTAACCTCACTTTGTGTTTCAGGGGTGTGTATGTGGGAGATACTAATGTATGGAGTGAAGCCGTTTCAAGGCGTGAAGAATAACGATGTGATAGGCCGGATTGAGAACGGTGAGCGTCTGGCGATGCCACCCAACTGCCCACCAACCCTCTACAGCCTGATGACCAAGTGCTGGGCATACGACCCCAGCAAACGACCACGATTCACCGAGCTCAAAGGCCAACTAAGGTCAGTCCACACAACTTTGCACAAATTTTGCTCCACTCGTTATGAACAGCTATTATTGATTCAATTCTATTATTGAATTGTTGGTCATGATTTTGAATATTTCTTTGTTGGCATATGTAAAACTTGATATATTAGTGGTCGTCTCCACACTTACATTAACACTACTGGTTTAGAGTCTCATGACCACAGTAAATTAATCTGCCTAATAGCAGTAGAGGGCGCTGTAATGCTCTAGATGTCTGACTACAGTGATTTTGTTTAAAGATTGTTAGTCAAAAAACAGTCTTGTACAGCAAGTAGAGATTCAGCCCAACATGAAACCATACTTGATTGCGAATAGACCTGTAAAGCAATTTACAAGAATTTGACAGCAAAACTGTGGTCATTTACTAATCTGGTTTAGGGCTGTATGGCTCCAATACATAGCTTTGTGTATATTATAAAGATGCTGTACATTTACCATGGTTGTTACGGTTTCATGTAAGTTGTCCGTATCTGTATGTGCATTCTATTTCACATTTTCTGAAGTTCAAGATACAAGAGCTTTATGTGACGTCAGCTGATGCACACTATAATTAGATTTGAATGGGGAGGTGAAATATTTTCTTTACTTTACTCTTTACTAGTTGGTGTCATTACATTGGGTTTATACTTATGTTGTACTTTATATTAATCACAAATCACAAGTTTTATATGCATATTTTACTCTTTACTTTTTCACTTTTTATATTTAGATTATTAATAGTTAATATAAAGCAAATGTTCACTGAACATATTAATTGGAATTATTATTTTATTTGTTACACTATTTTATAATGTAACTTGCAGTTGCGGGATTTCTAAAATAAAAAAGACTTTATTTATTTATTTATTTTGGGGAAAAAAATCATGCTTAATTTCAATAATTATTTATTAAATTGATCAACAGTGACAGTAAAAACATGTAGAATGTTACAAAATTTCTGTTCTGATTTCTATTTCCAATAAATGCTGTTCTTTTTAACAGAAAACAGTTATTTTAAATTGTACTAATAACATTATTAATTGATTAACATTATTAAACATTGATACATTTTAGTGACCATAAACTTTTGAATGGTAGTGTATATGTAAGTGTAAAACACTCAGAAGGGCATTTTAGAGGAAGTTTACTGTTTTTATTCTCGAGTTTTTATCTCTTTCTGAACTGTTTAGGCATGCACACACACACACACACACACACACACACTCCCTGCATCCTTCATGATACAATAGTATTGAGTTCCCAAATGTCTGTTCATGTCCGCACATGCAGTCAGTTCCCGTAAATGCTGATGGAAATGGGAAAAAACGAGCTGTACTCTGACAGGCCATCAAACACCTGAATCCCTAATAATCTGAGGAATCTTGTCTGCCTTAAAAAAAAAAAACATCCAAGTTTTCTATTTGCAAAAACAGATTTGACAGCACTAGATGTTTCCAAGATCTCAAGTTATACACAGATATCCAGATTGAGGCAGATATGTCATGTTGCATCTCAAGTATAAAATTAATTCCTTTTTAGGTATCTTGGATGGAGTGACATTTTTTTTAAATGCGTATTGGAAAATACAGATCCCTTTCTCTACCCTCATTAAATCTGCAGTACATTTCAAGTGTAGAACGTCTGTTTCTAGGAAACCATGTAAATATTTACACTGTTAACTGCATTTATAAAGCCAAATTACTGCCATAACTAGTGCTGAAGCTATCAGAGCAGAGGTTTAGTCAGTGTCCTGTTGTGTTTGATAAGGAAATTAGCTGCTGTATGCTTAAGGTCTATAATTAGTGGATTTATGGTCTTTATGATGTAATTTCAAGGTCAGTGTTGATGGGTCTTGTTTTAAAAGCGCTTCAAATTTGTGATGGCTAAACAGCTGTTGTAATATAACAAAGTTTATCTAACTTCTTCAAAAGTGTCTCTTAAGGTTATTACAGTGAACACTGAGATGAAGTGAGGATTATGAAATGTAATGAAGTCACATGGGTTTGACACACAGGATGCTTAAACTCTAAAGTCCATTGTCTGTTCCTCAGAAGTCTTTGTCAGCGGTAGCAAAAAGAAAGTCTAGTCCAAACAACTTGAGGAATGAATCATTATGTTTGTCTTTGCACTCGATAGTTTGAGTCTAAACACTATTAGCAGTATTTTGTGTGTATGAATTTCTATGTATGTTCAGATGTTTGGTACTTCATTCTAGAGTATATAGACAGTGTAACACATGTTCTGAAATAGCTGTGATTGTTGTGTCACAGCCACACAGTAAAAGTAGTCTCTTTTTTAACTGACTTGCCCTCTGTTTTAGTTTTTTTTTATACATATTTTGTTCACAAATGTTATTAATCCTTAAAGGGATAGTTCACCCAAAAATGAAAATTCTGTCATTAATTACTCACCTTCATGTCGTTCCAAACCCGTAAGACCTTCGTTCATCTTCGGAACACAAATTAAGATATTTTTGATGGAATCTGAGAACTGTCTGACCCTGCATAGACAGCAACGCAACTGAAATGTTCCCAAGTCCACAAAAAGTGCACAAAAAGTATTCTCGTAGCTTCGTAAAATTACGGTTGAACCCCTGATGTCACATGGATTATTTTACAGATCTCTTTGCTACGTGTCTGGGCTTGGGAACATTTAAGTTGCGTTGCTGTCTATGCAGGGTCAGACAGCTCTCAGATTGTTAATTGTTAAATTGTTGTTGTTGTTGTTTTTTTTGACTTTTTAATTTGAACTTTTTAACCATTTTTGTTAAGAAGCATTTTATTAATATTTGAGAGAACAGATTTCAGTCTCATTTCTAAACTTTTGTTTAGAAACATTGGTAATCCTCAAGAGCTTTTAAGCCTGAACTTATGACACCTTTTGGTCTGTTATATTACATTCAGCTAGAGTTTTTGTCTAGCTGAATGTAATAGTTTTACAGCTAGTTTACAAAATTTAGCTGAATTGCTAGTTTTTGTTTTTGAGAGCCTGAGACCCCTGCAGCAGTCATGGTTGTGTCTGGGTATCCTGCATCTCTCTCTCTCTCTCTCTCTCTCTCTCCATCCACACACTCATGGTCTCTCTCAGAGATAATAGAGTTTCCAGAAATAGTCCCTCTCTCAGTCAGCTTGCATTCTCTCACCCCTAAAACTTACATGCTCCAGCATTTCTTCGCACCTCTTGCGTTTCTGTAGCCACCTCTGAGCGCGAGGCTTCATGTACGAACTTCACATATCGACACTTTAAGGACTGTCTGGTGAGTTTTAAGGTCATTACTAACATTTCCATCCGTTAAGACTTTTGTTTGATCACTAAAGCCATTGCTGTGAATTTACTGGAGTTTATTGTGTCTATATTGGTGTCTATCATGAGCAGACCCCACCCTGAAATCACTCTACCATTCAAAGGTTTGGGGTCGGTAACAGTTTTTTAAAAATGTTTTTGAAAGAAGTCCGAAATACAGTAAACAGTAATATTGTTGGAAAAAAATATAAAAATTTAAATAACACTTTTCTATTTTAATATATTTTAAAATGTATTTTTTATTCCTGTAATTTAAATTTAATTCCTTTCATGGCAAAGCTGAATTTTCAGCAGCCATTACTCTAGTCTTCAGTGTTGCATGATCCTTCAGAAATCATTCTAATGTGTTTATTTGGTAATCAAGAAACAACACTTACCACAGTTGAAAACAGTTGTGCTTGTTAATATTTTGTGTAAACGGGGATGTATTTTTTTCGGGATGTAATATTGTAAATGTTTTACTGTCATATTTGATCAATTTAATGCATCCTTGCTGAATAAAAGTATTAATTAAAAAAAAAAATTGAGCATGTGAATATTCACCCTAAGGTAGTTTATTATGCATGAAGAGTTTGTAAATCCTTATATTAGTTTTCAACATGGCTCTTTTTATTCACACAGTCTAGCATGACAGAAGTTGATGGTTTAAATATGTTAACGTGATGAGATGCCCGTCATCCTCTTATTCATGCTGACTTCTTCGAGCTTGTCATGACGTATTTGATTGTGAAATAGTTTGAATAGTGTTTCAGGTATGTGTTGCTTTTTTTCCCTGGTAGTCGACCGTGTGTGGGTTGGGATCTTACACTGACTCGTCTGTGACGATAGAGTGACTCCACCTTTCAACCAATTGCATGAAGTTGGAAATGTCATTCTCTTGAACTCACACCCATTGATAAGAATTAAAGCAAAAATTGAGGGAAAATTTGTCTTTCACATTTGTATAGAAGAGGTTTCTTACCTACCCGCTCTGTAAGAGTGGTTGCAAGCTCAAGTATCCATATTTAGGAATTGTAGTTCTAGAAGAAAGATGTTGTTGTTTGACAGAGGTTTCCATCGCTGTTTGTGCAGTACAATCCTTGCGGAGGAGAAGGCTCAGCAGGAGGAGCGCAGCCGTATGGAGATGAGGAGACAGGTCCCCGTATCCTGGGACTCAGGAGGCTCAGACGAAGCACCACCCAAAGTAAGTAAACAATCTGATGTCCTTGTCAATGTGTAACAGCAAAAATAACATGAGTTTTAAGTCATTGGATTGTTCATGTGTTTTTCATGTTTTTACATTTATGGCAGCCTGAGTTCATCTGGAACACCAGATTTCTTACCAAGGTTAACAGCGTGTCACCATTTGTCACTCTAGCACATGGTGTTTAGTTAGGAGTAGTAGTATGCCTGTGTGTGTGTGTGTGTGTGTGTGTGTGTGTGTGTGTGTGTGTATGTGTGTTTTTAAATGAAAGTGAAAGAAGTACTAGAGTAATTTTCCCTCTGAAACTTTGACTGCAATATTTTTTATTCATTTTTTGTATCAAAGAAAAAGGCTATACATGTATTTCCTGTTGTGATTAATTGATTATTGCGCGTGTTTCTAGTTAACCAGCACTTTTCCAGACATTCTCTTTGTTTATAACCTCAGCTCTCCAGTGCCAGGTCACGTCTTCTGTCACGTAACATCACTGTGTCTTGGATACAACAGCATTCTAGTTTCTCATTTGTTATGATTATATAAGGTGAGGTCTGAAGTACTGAGACCACCAAGACAAATTCTACTATTTTCCGTTTGCCTAATTTAATACAAAGAATATAGCTACATTAATTAATACATTATTAATTATATTATTATATTTACTTATTTGATTTGTGACCTAGATATTTTTATTTTTTCATATTTGAATTTGATTTTGAATCACAGATGTTCAGTGTGATCTCAGTCTCTTGGACCCCACTGTGTGTTACATATGCTTCCCATATGCAAAAATGCGTCTTCCCATGTGGTTCTCTGTCTTCACTTCTCTCTTCGTCTGTTTGAACAAGCTGCGGGGACAATAAATATTATTAGATGCGTCATAATCTTTCCATATTTCTGTTAAACTAAAGACAGATTTAAGCTCTGTCTGAAAGTGAATACAACCATGAAATCAAGACTTTAATTTTGTGAAGTCCATGTGTGCCAGCTTTGAGATCTGTATGTGCTAGTGTGCTCCTCAAAGTTGACAAAATTCCTTTTAAAAATGTGCAAATTTATGTGCATTTAAAGGTGGGGTAAGCGATTTTTCAAAACTGCTTAAGAAAACTGATTCGGGCCGACTAGCAAAACAAACTTGTAGCCAATCAGCAGTAAGGGGTGTGTCTACTCATGATGTGGAGGAGAGAGCGTTCAGTGCACAGGACGAACATTAGCGAGCCGAGCGACAGAAAGAGATGGTGGATAAAAAACAAAAGAGGTAAACGTCTGCGGAACAAAAGAAGGCATAAGGCAAGAAGTAGGACCCGTGTAAATATCGGATCAGCTTTCCAGCGCTGGAGAGAACTCAAGGAGCGGAAGGCCTGCGATCGGACGCCGAGGTTGCTTTGTTTCTTCTCGATAGGTGAGTAACACCGTGTCTGTGCCGCAACAGCTAAAGTCTGTCTAGTACGCTTGTGTCAATACATTATGAATAGAACGCAGCAGCAGTTTTCTCTCAGGGATTTGTCATGTCGTGCCGCCGCGCATTCAGTGTAGACCATAGATATGTATATATACAGTATCTCACAGAAGTGAGTACACCCCTCACTGGGGCGGAGCTATCAAAATAGGGGCAAAACCCTTTTGGGGTAGGGGCGTGTTTGTTTTGGTGATTTCAAATATCAACATTGGCTACCAGAAATCGCTTACCCCACCTTTAAAATGTGTAGTCTTTCTTTTCCAGGAGAACAATTTAAACATATTGATGACTCACTGAGTCTTTTCCCAAGTTCCTCATTTAGTAGGAAATACACTACCATTCAAAGTTTTTTTTAAATAAATTATTTATGATATCTGAAATAAACTGTTTATAATAAATAATATAAAATATTTTATAAATTATTCAGAAAGGATAAATTAATATTGATCTAAAGTGACAGCAAAGGCATTTATAAAGTTAAAATGGTTTCTATTTAAAAAAAAAATCATTTAAGCTCTGTATTCATCAAAGAATCCTGAAAAAATGTATTGTGGTTTCCACAAAATATTAAGCAGCACAACTTTTTTAACAGTGATCATAAGAAATGATTCTTGAACAACAAATTAGCATATTCAAATGATTTCTGAAAGATCATGTGACAGTGAAGACTGGAGTAATGGCTGCTGAAAAGTAAATGACATTAAAAAAAAAATACATTATAATAGAAAACTGTTTGAAATTAAAATAAAATTTCACAGTATTACTGTTTTTGTATAATAAAAAAAATAAATAAATGCTGCCTTGGTGAGCATAAAATACTTTTTTCACATTAAATAAGATAGTAAACATTAAAAAATCTTACCATCCTCAAACATTTGAATTGTAGTTTTTATTTTTGTGATTGATATTGTTAGTCTGTCTGCTTTTTGACAGGGTTTTAAATCCTTCCCTGTCCTGTGTTGCTCATATTGTGGTGACTGATGGGCCAGGCTGATCTCTTCATTCGCTCTGTGTGTTGCTTAAAGCACCTCCTACTCTTACTTTCAAACCTCCTCTGCTTCCTGTCAGACCTGCCAATCATTCTGTCCAGGTGCTGATGGCTGTTTTTGTGTTGACTGGTCACACCTGCCGTTGTGCTAATGACCAGAATGAAACTGCGTTCATCCATGTCGTGCCTCACTAAATTTCTGCCTTTGTCATCCCTTCTGTGTTTACTTGTGTTGTTTAGCTCATCTTTCATTGTGTGTGTGTGTGTGTGTGTGTGTGTGTGTGTGTGTATGTGTAGCCCTCCCGCAGACGCCCCATCCAGCACAGCTTCAGTATGGACTGTCTGTCTGCGCCCGCATCTGCTGCTTCTCGCCCTCCACAGCAACCCTTTGGTTCCCAGATCTCCCTTTGCATCCGCCAGTCCAAGCCGCCTGCCTCTCCTCTGGGGCCATGCGATAAAACCATCACTAACCGATCACCACACATGCAGCAAATGCTACACCAAAACACTCATGCTAATACACAACAGCTTAGCGTACATTCCCAGCATACGTTTCCGCAAACTCAGACCTCGCTTCTGCTTCAGCCGTTACCGCTGCACTGCTCCCTGCTGTTCCCTCAGGGGCCCAGAAGGACTCCCTCTGTCCCCCCCAGTGCCACCCAGCCTGCTTTCTTCGACCCCTACTATCCCTCCATGCAACAGCTGAGCCTGACCCACGTGCCCTACAGATTCTCACAGGCAGGTGTGCTAGGACTGTTAGCGGGGCATCCCAAGAGTTTTACTGTAGCCTCTTCATTTGTACAGGTGATTTTATTGGTGCGTGCCATTTTTAGCTGCAGATTAAATGTTATAGAGTTAAAAGAACAGTATAGATGAGAAAGGCTTAGTGTATTAGAGTTATGTTGACTGTATATTATCAAGATTAACAGACTAAGTATACACAGTGTGTAATAGAGTGCACTTTTTCATCAGCTTAGTTCTGAAAGTAATTTTTCCATTGATATTTCTCATAGGGATTTTAAACAAAGACTTTGCTTTGAGGTGAATCGTTCTGTTACCAAAAAAAGTATTCGACAGTAATGTACTTTATGGCTTTTATGAGGAAAAGAACTCTTGTACAATCCCATGAGGCATTGCGAATGACAATCAAATAAAACAAATGATGGAGAACTATAAAACGATTGATTTAAAGATGTTGATTATGTATTCAGAAACAGTATATTTTGTATAGTTGTATAGTTACAAATATTTCAGTAGTTTCAGAGCATAGAGAAACTGACTACATCATTCAATGTGTTTCATTGGTGTGGGCGGCTCTCTTTGCAGAATCATGGGTAATTAAGTTTTTCAACAGCTTTCTTTTTTTAAACAATTATTTGAAAAATAGGTTTAAATAATGTGTACCTTAAACAAAAGTATATTCCATCAATTAACAACCTTGTAGCTCATAGGTCTGTCTTCAGAGGTTTATAGGTTTTTGTTAAAAATCAGTTCCCCTACAGAGAAAATGAATGTGATTTTTACTTCCAGAACCTGACTTTTGCACTATTGGAAATATATGGATTAAATTCCCATGGCGTGTCACCCCTGGAGGAAGTGTAGAGTTAGATTAATGGATATATAGTACATGTTGGACATAGCTGAACTACAATCACATTATCTACTGTAGGTCTGTTAGTCGAACTTTGCAAAAAACACGTAAAAAGCATTTACTTACACAATTATTGCTTTAGTCTGACCTATATCAAACTTTAATACAGTAAAGTCATTTTAGTGACTCAACTGCTCTTTTCTGTGACTCAATTACTGTGATGCCTTTGTAGTTCTTATTTAAGAGCCATTTTAGAATATTTCAGTCATGATCAAAGATGATTTAGGCTAAAACCAAGCTGAAAACTGCTACAGTAGCTTCAGACAGTCTTCCAGATAAAACTCTATGTGAAAACTGCATGTTGCCTCTTCAGTGCATGTAAACTAAACTGTGTGCCAGACCTGTGTTAAAATTAAGCATTAACCTGCCATAGACGTGTGTGGTTTTGTGAATCTCAAATTTAATATCAAAGAATGCTTTATTTTCAGAAACACAGACAAAACAGTTGTAGAAAGGCTCTCAACCACATCCGCATTGCCAAAACATCGTTCTTAACAAAAGAAAATTGGTTCTTGAAGCAGATTGGTGATAAACATCTTTTTGTTTTGATTTTTGGCAGTCCTTCCAATAGTGACAATAATTCCCATCACTTTCATGCCAGTGCTCATGTAGGTTTTCCCCCCTGTATTAACCCTTATCTGTCCATTTAGTGTATGTTGCTGTATGTTGTCACTTACTTTTCTCCTTTTTTTTCCTCCTTTGCTCATCTGGAGCTGTGGTCAGTCGACTCTCTCTATGAACGTGTTTATAAGGTAGATCAGTCCGTCTGCTGTTTTCCCGCCCACAGCTGAGCACAGAGTATCCCAACCAATCGGATGAAGACCGCCTCCTATATATCAGCATTCATTTTTCAACCCCCTCCCTCTAATCTAAAATACCCGCCCATGTACTGTAAAACTATGATAACATTTCCGAAATAACATGTGCATTGTGGTAACATTAACTAACTGCTTGCATTTTATGTTCGACTGTTTTAATTTCTTCCCTTCAACAGCCTGAAATCTTCATCCACACAAAATGCACAAGAATTTTGTGTGCGTCTGGTGGACTGATTTTAACAGCAACTCCTAACATTAACCCGATTGGTCAAAATGTGCTAGTATATTGACATAGTCATGTGTGTATGATTACAGCCCAGTCGACCTGGTTATCCAAGTCCCCGTTCCAGTGAAGGGTTCTACCCTAGTCCTCAGCACATGGGCCAGCACAATCATTACCAGGTACAGTGCTTGCATTAGTCTAATACAGATGGGTAAATTCACTAAGAATGCAGCAGACAACTAGTTGGATTGCAGGTAGTTTATAAAGATTATAAGTTTGCTTTATATGTGTTTTCGGCATGATGTAGATGGCAGGGCACCCTGGCCCACACGGCTTGCTTCCCGTGCCAGGTGGGATGTACCCTCCCCAGGCCGCAGGGACTGGGCTTGATCCCCACGACAGCTGGAATCATCGCAGGGCTGCTCAGGATCACATGTGGAATCCCAGCATGGAGGTTAGAAATCTGGAGGTTTTCTGAATGATGAAATCTAAGCTACATTTCACAACCGAATGAGCTGCCAGCATTTTTAGGCATCTCAGAGATGCTCCAAATGTGAAGACTGTTTTAAACATTAATAACAAATGTTTGAGGCCTTTTAAGGTAGTGAATTTTGGCCAAAGTCTAAAGCTGCACCAAGTGTGTCCTTCATGAATAAGCAGAGATGGGTAGTAACTGATTAATAAGATTAAATTACATTTTAAAGTAATCAGACCACAATTACTTTTGTATTGATTACATGGTTCATAGAATTCACACAATAGCAACAAATTATTTATAATTTATTGATTCTCCCTAATTCCTCTTTTTCATATTTTAAATGTTTCTTTCTAAACTAACCTGCCACTTATATACACTCAGAAAGTCCAGTTTTGTGCACATTCACACAAAGACCAGTCACTAGTCAGGTAGCTACATAGCATTTGACCACTGAATATATAAAATTCGTTTCAGGTTTAAGAAGTGTTTTAACATTGCATCAGGTACTAATAAACACGTTACTTTTTATTTGAATTATCACTCAGTAGACTATTTAACCATGTATTTAAAAAACCATGAAGGCTTTAGTCTTTCAAACACATTAAAATGCACTAGGGGTGTCCCCGACTTAAGGATTTTCATAGTCAAATCGGAATTTTCGAATCTTGCCGATATTCGACTGATAGGCCAATCATATGTTTTGGGGGTGGGGCAAAATATATTACCAAGAGTCAAGTCAGACATTAGACAGTCATAATTACGTTAACACAGGGAAAATGTGTAACGGACACCTCAAAGATACAAACGGGGTAAATAATGTTTTATGTTTTGATTAAAAGATAGTTAACATTAAACGGCTGCGAACCCCTAAGAATTCACAACATTTTTTACAATAGTGCTCTCATTGTAACGTTATGTATATGACTGTAGTTATTAATGTTCTGCATTTTTGTTTTGAGCTGCGCGCGCGTACATTTCAGCACCCCCTTATAGCCAAAATGGCATGATCATAACACCCCGCGAATATTCAACTGTGAGATTGGTAGTCGAATCAGGCTCCTCCTATTGAAGCATCGAATCTTCGACTATTCGGGGTCACCCCTAAAATGCGCAAATTCACGTTATTTCTTATTTACTTGCAATGCAGGTATTCCCAAACTTTTTGGTCATATGAAACCAAAAACCTTTCACATAATATATTTACTTGAAGCACATTTGCATGTTCACGGTTCTATGACATTGGTTAATGGTCACGTGACATGCAGGTAAACAAATAAAATATTTAATTTTTTAGTTAGTGTTTTATTTTGATTTATGTTATTTTAAGATGATTCATTTTTATGATGAAATTAATTATTAGCTTTTCATAAAACTTACAAAACCTAATGCACTTCATGTTGTTAATAACAATGAATGGAATACATTTTCTGACTCTTTGTAATTATCCTACTTAAATCAACGTGATAAATGAGTTGGGTCAAAAGTAATCTAAAAGTAATCAGAAAGTAGTCTGATTTTATTACCTTAAATGTGTAATGTAATGGATTACGTTACTAACTACAATTTTTGTAATGTAATTTGGAATCAGTAACAGACTAAAAAAATGTTAATGAACTTATTTTAGATTCCATTTACGTTTATTTATAATTACAGAGGCAAGAAATGTATGTGAATTGGTTGGCATTAAATTGACATAAAATATCATCTGATCTTCATCAGATTCACAAGTATAGACAAACACAGTGTGCTTATGATAACAACACACAAACAATTATAAGCTTTTATGTCTTTGTCAAACACTTTCCATTAAACATTACCTGTTGTCATTACCAAAGTCCCTTTAAGACAAGTCATGTCACTCGGCGCCGCGGCCATCTTTGAAACGCCTCTCGGGCATGCAAGTGCAACTCCTATCTCTTTGAATGGGGAAACATCAAATTCTACCAAACTGTTCACTAAGCAAATTTCATATTTGAAATCACCAAAGAAATCTGATATCAACTGTGTCATAAATGTTGTTTATTTTGCCCAAATAGCATTATAAAAAGCTTATTATTCAGGCTAGATCAACCAGTGCGCATGCGCAGTCCTGAGCGCATGTCTCAGAACGCTGACTGTTTCTATAGCAACCGGGACTTCTAACGGCAACTGCAGTGATGCGCTGACTTTACCGATTAGCGATTGGCTCTTTCATTCAGAAGGTGGGACTTCCTGCGATTGAGCGGCCTTATTGAGCATTGCATTTTTCCCCATTCAAAACTATACGAGTGACACGTCTTGGGTATTCTATAGTCTTTATGTCATTACCTGGATGATTTTTTTTTTTTTTTTTGAGGAGATACATGAGTTGTTCACGAGTCCCTTGTTTGTCCCGAGCAGTTAAACTACCCACTGTTTTTCAGAACTTGATGATTTTTTTTTTTTTTTTTTTGAGGAGATACATGAGTTGTTCACGAGTCCCTTGTTTGTCCCGAGCAGTTAAACTACCCACTGTTTTTCAGAAAAAAAGGCCAAAAAAGTAATTTGCCAATAGTGTAGCAATGCATGAAGCACCACTCACAAGTCACTTTCAAACCAAGCAGATGTGGTTCTTCAACACAATCTACAGTAACAAGACTGGAGTGTATTATCATTTTTATCATGTATATTAGCATATGTTGATAAATTGTGTTTGTTTCAGGATGGTGTGGCTGTGCGCGGTGGTCTGTCTCAGCTGATGGAGGAGCAGTTATTACTGCAGCAGCAGCAGATGGAGGATGATCAGCGCTGGTTGGAGCAGGAGGAGAGACTACTGGTACTGATCCCTCTCACCTTCACCTCTTCCATCTCTTCCTTACATTCATCTGCTCATCTTTGTCTCCCCCTGCTTAGCTGTATTATGTGGTTTTGATAGTTTCTAAATTCTTCCTAAAAACATTTTAGTGGAGAATCATGGTGATGTTTATTTTTAGCCGCAGCAATATGATATTCCAAACAGTCATTTTCATGTTTGTTTGAGAATAAGTGTTTCCACCAATTGTGGTTTCCTGCTCCATTTTTTTTTTTTGTAAACAGTTGTGAGTGATCCTCACAATTTCACAACATCAGCTTTGGCATTGAGATGTTTATTGCAAATAATTTGCATTGTTGAATAGTTACAGAAAGAATATGAATTAGAAGGCATTGCACTTCTGTGAGAGACTGTGTTATTATTGCAGTGATATGTGTGCATATGAATGTTATTATGCACATAAGTGTGTCTGAGAATATTTGTGTGCGTTTGTGGTATGCCAAGTTTTGGCTTACAGTCTCCATCATTTGTATCTTCACTGTGTCATTATGTTCAGTCTGTCTCACAGAAAAACCTCACACAGCTTCCTGTACCAACTAAAAAGGGCATTCAGAGCTCTACCACAGCAAACAACATTCATTCTTCTGCTTAAACTATTACTTTTCCTCACAAACAACTTCTGTTGAAACAAAATGTCAGCTCTTATAGGAATAGTTCATCCAAAAATGATTCGCTCATCCTGATGTTTTTTTAAACATGTAAACAGTTTTTAGTCAGTGGAGCACAAAAGAGGGTATTTGGAAGAATCATGCTGCTCTTTTCCATACAGTGACTGTTCACAGTGTTGCAAGCTACAAAAGTGACAACAAATGCCATAAAAGTAGACTTTTATTAAATTAATTCCAATGCAATTGTGTGATTAACAGACCTAAATATTATATTTATTCATTAATACTTTAAAACTCTTATAAGCTTTTCTGTCATTTTTGACAGATTTAATTTTGTTTTTTACACATAAATAAGATCCACATAAGATCTAAAATCCTCAAAAAAGTGCATGATTTTATTGTTACTACTTCTAGGAAGTTAGTGGTGCAACATTTCAGTAAATGTTTCATATTTTTTAATTACCTAAAGCTATACTTTTACATTTCCTGGTCAAAAATGACCTCAAACATCCAAGGTGTAACCTTTTTCAAAAAGTTCAGTACGGATTAAAAGTTTTTGCATGCCTATTAAAGTGTTTTTGATGCTGTGAGTGGATGAATGAGTTTTTGATCCTGGCCGTTTGATACAGGTGCAGTTTTCAGGAATTCCTCAGTAATGAAGGGTTTTGTTGGCACTGAGGCGTGAGACGGATAAACTCAGCCTGACCTGTATCTGCTGAAAGTTAAATTACTGATCAGAGGAAGTTTTCATCTCTTCGCAGATGTTATAGGCAAATGTGCATGAGGGATAATGGGAGGGGAAGAGAGTGAAAGAGAGAAAACACTGAGCTAGGGAATGAGAGAGAGGAGGAGGAGAGCAGAACAGGGCTTGGCTTCGCTGAGTTGAGGCTCGTCGGCTTTGAGTGAGTCAGTGTGTGTTTAATATGTCTCACATTCAAGAGACGAGTCACTCCACACACACACACAAGCTTGCTTAATGGAGATCCACTCCGTGCTCTGCTCCATGCTGAAAAAACGCCAGAGAGAAACGCTCACAGGAAGAGACGGGAAGATGCAGGTCTTCAAATCCTGCTTCGGAAAACTGGTACAGTAAACTCGGAAGAATGGGAAGGGGAGGGTGCCATTTTAAGTACATCTTTGTGGCATCTTGAACTGTCATGGACTTATATTCCATGGTTTATATTCAGTTGATTTATGTCTGGTTTATCGTTGTCGTTTCAAGGAGTAGGAACAGACATTAGTAAGTGTGTAAAGTTTTGTGAGCAATAAATATGCTTGACCATGTGAGAATGAAATGATTGAACGTGTGAGAAAGTGTTGACCACTTTTCCTACTTTTTGTGGCATTTAAATATCAAAAGTGTTCTGATTGGCTGCTACTGTGTCCTGCAGCATTATCATTTTCATTGTCGAAATGCAAATTGCTTTTAGCTGTAATCTTGTAGGGTCGCTCCAGGTCAGGATGGGGTGCGAATTAGCACAATAGATGCAACAGACATTGATTTGTCGAATGAGGTGTCAGATTTGACCTTCTTTTTTCCTCTGTGTGTGTGTGTGTGTGTGTGTGTGTGTGTGTGTGTGTGTGGCAGAAGCCTGATGGGAGAAGTTCCAGAGGCAGCATTGACCGTGATGATGGAAGCCTTCAGGGACCAGTGAGTTTCTCTTCATTTTCTTTCTTTTTGTTGAAATACACTACCGTTTGAAAGTTTGGGGTCAGTAAGATTTTTGTTTTTTAGAATAAATTAATAATTTTATTCAGCAATGACGTATTAAATTGATCAAAAGTAACAGTAAACAATTACATTGTTACATAACAAAAGCTGTTCTTTTTAAACTTTTTATTAAAGAATCTAGAAATTTATAACAGTTTGCACAACAATATTAACTGTTTTCAACACTGATCAAAATGATAAATGTTTGTTGAGCACCAAACCGGCATATTAAAATGATTTCTCAAGGATCATGTGACACTGAAGACTGGAGTAAAGGCTGCTGAAAATTCAGCTTTGCCATCACATGAATAAATTACATTCTAAAATATATTAAAACAGTTTTTAAATTGTGGTAATTTCACAATATTACAGTTTTTACTGTATTTTTGATCAAATAAAGTAGCCTTGGTAAGAATTAGAGACTTCTTTAAAAAAAAAATGTTTTTAAATCTGGCTCCCAACTTTTGAATGGTTGTGTAAATTTTAAGAAACATAAGTGTTTTAAGATTAAAGGAAAAATTCACCCAAAAATTACAATGGACCTTTTTCACATTTCCGGGTTTCTCAGCAGCGGAAGTCGTCATAGTTGGGTAAACTTGAAGAGCAGTGAATGGGAGAGTACCACAAATATATTTTTTGCATTCCCAGTTGCTCAAATAGCAAAAGAAAAACTCCACGATAAGTATTTTCATGACTTTCAATAAAAGGAAAAAAATTGAGAGAGACTGATAATGGCTGTCAGAAGAGAGAACGATGTCAAATTTACCGTCCCTCCCATAGACGCTGCATTAGAAACACCCTCGCATTAGCGTTAACTGTTTTTTTGTAATTTGATGCAGAGGTGATATAATACAAAGAATAGTGTTATAAATGTAGATACATTTTTTTAAAACTACAAATATGAAAAACTTTCGAGGATTTGCGATGCTGATGACCGTTAAACGCATCTTCACAGTCTTGTGAAAAGGGTCCATTCTGTAATTATTTACTCATCCTCACATTGTTTCAGACTCATTAGATTTTTTTCATGTCTGAATTTAAAAAAAAAGAGAGAAAAGGAAGGATTTTTACACAACTCTTTCTATACAACAACTATTCATAGTGACTGTCTCTCAAGCAAGTGTGTGTGTGTGAGAGAGTTAATCATCTGATCAGGTCATGTTAAATATAGTGGTGTTCCCCACTCATGGACATCTGCAGTAAATTATATTGTATATGGGCGTCACCTCACACTCGCTGTGGGGAAATTCTGTACATGCACAGGAATTCCACTTAAATAGTTTTTGGTGAAAGACTAAAAGATTATAGAACTCTATGTTGTACAACTGTGAGATTGTGTGTGCTCTTGTATAGTTGCAATGGAGTTCTAAAAATCAGAGCACACTGAAATTCTGGAAAATCTCATTTCAAAAATCTGAATTTTATTTTACAGTTTTAAAGCTTACAAAAAGGATAATTATGATTTTAATGATGAAATTAAAAGTTCCGTACTGGAAGTCATTGACCAAAAAAGTAACATTTGTAACATTGATCATGTGACTCTATGTACAGACGGTCAGATATTATTGCTTTCATTGAAGCACAAGATGCTCTTTGACTCATTCTCAAAACATGATCGTCAGGTTTGACACAAACTTGTGGAGTTCATGCAGCTCAAGAATTGCTGTCATTAAAGCAAAAAAGGCACAAACCAAATACTGAGACATTCTGAACGTTTTAAAGTGATAATATGATCATTTGAAATGCAAAATAGAACCATTTTTATTGGTGATCTCAGACTTTGGGACTCCACTGATAGATCTCAGCATGTCATCTCTTTAGTGAACTAAGTTCATGTGCATTTAGTTTGCCATAGTGTGTTTTTATAAGCTTTAAGGTACTGAAATGTCTATCATAGCTGGATATCTATCCAAAATCAGCAGGATAAATGAGAACCAAGGACAAGGGCCCTTTTGTGAGGAGCCAAGCAGCAGTGGACACTCAAGAAACCCAATCTGCTCTGCCTTCCCACTTCTAATGTTAACATAGAACAACTACAGATATTTGCTAGTTTTTGAATGCATTTCATGCTTGTCATGATCTGGAACTGCACAGAACTCCACAGCTGCTCTGTAGAGCTTGTGTGTGTGCGTGTGTGTGCGTGCGTGTGCGTGCGTGCGTGTGTGTGTGTGTGTGTGTGTGTTGGCATGCCAGGCATCCAAGCTGCTCCCCGCCCAGACCACAACAACACACATGGCACAGTCTGTCTTGACTCCTGCATATTTTTAACTGTTTTTTTTTTGTTTGCAGACTGGAAATCAACACATCTACCAACCTATAGGGAAAGCAGGTGAGTTATGCCAAGTCTGTTTAATGTAATATGTAATTTCAAGTTATGAAGTACGATTTTTTTTTTTAATGTTTTTGAAAGAAGACTTTAATGGTCACCAAGGCTGCATTTATTTGATCAAGAATACAGTAGAAACAGTAATATTTTGAAATAGTATTACAATTTAAAATGATTGTTTTCTATTTTAATATATTATAAAATGTAATTTATTCCTGTTATGGCAAAGCTGAATTTTCAGCAGTCTTCAGTGCCACATGATCCTTCAAAAATTATTCTAATATGCTAATTTGGTGATCAAGAAATTTTTCTCTCTATCACTGTTGAAAACAGTGGCTTGAGGGTATTTTTTGCTTGCAGTGTGTAACTTACATAAAAATGCAGATTGAGTTACAGACTGACTCGTTCCTGTCGTCCTCAGAACACGCAGCTCCTCCTAAAAAGCCTCCTCGGCCCGGAGCTCCCAGCCACCCTGCAGGAGTCTCCGGCCTCAACCCTACAGACAGCTACAATGAAGGCGTGAAGGTACCAGAACTACCGCATGGCAAACTAACTCTTTTACAGCTTCAGATAAATATTGTGCGTGTGTGACTTTACAATAATCACTGCTGCTGTTTTTAAACCACACAAAGTTTGAAATAGCACCAAACACACACACATAGCGAGGCTGGTAAGATTAGCATCTGTACTTACAGGAGTAAGCTAGCATGCCAACAGATGCTGTTTGCCAAGCCTCATTAAAATCATCTTCATTCCTGAAACCCCTTTCACATACACAAGCACACAATTGCTCTGCAGGGTCTCTCATAAAAAGATCCCTGCACACCAAGAAGCCGGCAGTTTCCATTCCAGCGCATTTTCCTGATGCTGTGGGTCAGCGTGCAGGGGGTCTCGCAAGCAACAGCAGAAATGCAGTGCAGAATGGAAAATATAATTAGGAACAATGCACATGTAATTGTGGTCTGCTTTGCAACTTTATAGTTTTTAGGAGTTTTACCTGTAGGCGTGTTTGGTCAGTAGAAAACATTTAAGGTCCCATAATTATGCTCGACGAGTGCGGTTTTCATTCTAGTGCTGATTTTGGGTTGTATTTTCTGTTTGGTTGGGGAATTTAATAAAATTTAAAATAAAAATGTAAATTGTGTCACAGTCTTGACGGCTTGCTATTGCTAGTCCGGGACGTTCTCATTGTGGAAACCATTTGATTGGACAAAAAATTTGCAGTAGAAGATGATTTTCAGTATTTTTAACCAAAGAGAAAGAAGTTTGCTTCAGATAACATTTAGGAGTACAAAACTAAAGCACAAAACTGTAATTTTGATTTCATCAGGTCTTTACATGTAAATTTAGTTACATAATTTCACAGAACTTAAACTCTGGCGACATTTTCATGGTGTTGGATTCAAAAATATATTGACTTTTTTTGTTTTCTCTTTCTTTCTTTGCAGCATGTATATGTAAAGTTATATTTATTAATCTCTTTCTTTTTCTCTCTGTCTCTCTCTCTGCACACTGTTCTCTTGCTCTGTGCCTCTTTAGGAGTACAAAACTAAAGCACAAAACTGTAATTTTGATTTCATCAGGTCTTTACATGTAAATTTAGTTACATAATTTCACAGAACTTAAACTCTGGCGACATTTTCATGGGGTTGGATTCAAAAATATATTGACTTGCGCACACAAAGACGACGTAATTCCAAGCTGTTTTCTCTTTCTATCTCTGCAGCATGTATATGTAAAGTTATATTAATCTCTTTCTTTTTTTCCTCTCTCTCTGCACACTGTTCTCTTGCTCTGTGCCTCTGCCCTTCCTCTGTTGCACTGTTTTTGCACTGGTAGCCCTGGAGGGTAAGACCACCTGTAGACTCAGTGTTATGTTTCTGTCTGTGTTTGTGCCCCTTTTTTTTAACCAGTTACTATGTCATTACTCAACCTTATCATTTAGAATCATAACTTAATTATCTACCAAACTGAATTACATGGGCTGTATAGATCTTGTCACTCTCCTTGTCTTTTGCTTTTTATATCAGCTGTGATTTTAGCTAATGTGCTTGTAGCGCAATCTAGTGGAGGCTTTGGATCATTCTGCTTGGATGGACGCAGTACAGTATATTGTTTAAAATCTACACTGAAATATTTCCTTGATCTCTTTTTATATTTAACATGGGGGAACTACATCTTTTTGTCATCATATCATGTTTTATATTAAAATCAAGGGTGCACAGATGAATTTCTAATCAGCTGGGTATTGTAGGCAGTGATGGGTCTCCAGTAGTTGCTTGTGCTGTCATCTAGTGTCAAACATGACATTTGTACCATAACACAGACCTCTTCATTTCATTAGCACTTATGTCCTGTAACATGGATTCAGTAACACAACCTTCATCCTATATCCCTTGTTTATATACATAGCAACATTATATGCTCATACTTGGAATTGAATAATCTTCAGTAATGCAGTATTTTAAAGTTTGTTACTTTGTGTTTGTCTTTAGATTCAGCCTCAAGAGATCAACCCGCCCCCAACAGCTAACTTAGATCGCTCCAACGACAAGGTCTATGAAAATGTGACCGGGCTGGTAAAGGCTGTGATTGAGATGTCAAGTAAAATCCAGCCAGCTCCCCCTGAAGAATACGTGCCCATGGTGAAGGTATGACACAAACTGAGAAATATATATCCATTCTGCAGGTTGCTGAACATGCCTTTGTTCACCAGAGAGATGATCTTAAAGGGATAATTCACCCAAACATGAGCATTATGTCATTAATACTTACCCTCAAGTTTTTTTTAAACCTGTATACTGGTATCATTTCCCTGGAACACCCACAATAAATTTGTTTCTTCATCTGAACATATTTGGAGAAATTTAGCATTACATCACTTGCTCACCAATGGATCCTCTGTAGTGAATGGGTGCCGTCAGAATGAAAGTCCAAAAAGCTGATAAAAACATCACTATAATCCACAAGTAATCCACACGACACCAGTCCATCAATTCATGTCTTGTGAAGCAAAAAGCTTTGTTTGTAATAAACAAATCCATCATTAAGAACTTTTTAACTTGCTTTAGACTAAAATACATATACCCTCTATACATAAAATTGCTTCCTTTTTATATTTTTGATGAAATCTGAGAGCTTTCTGACCCTGCATAGACCGCAACGCATCTGACACGTTCAAGGCCCAGAAAGGTAGCAAGGACATCGTTAAAATAGTCCATGTGACACCAGTGGTTCAACCCTAATTTTATGAAGCTATGAGAGTACTTTTATTGCGCAAAGAAAACAAAAATAAACACTTTATTCAAAAATTTATTCTCTTCCGTGTCAGTCTTCACCGTATGTTCAGGAGAGTACAACGACAGACAGGAGCCCTTTAAAAAAAAAAAAGAAAGAAAAAGCTAAATAGAAATATGCATGTATGTATGTAAGTAAATAGATTCATTAATTCAATTAAAAAATACTAATAATTAAGCACATAGCAAAATTACTAAAACGTAAAAATCAAAATAAAAACTCCAAATATAAAAATAAAAGTTTATTCAAAATATTAATAAATGCTATTATATTATATAAATAGTATTTAATAGTAATAGTAACACTTATAGCTAAACATCACAAAAACCAATGTTTGATTTGAGAGCCCCAGTGGAGGTTAAGATTATAAGTGAATAACTTAATTTTCAGCCTTTTGTTATCTCAAAGCTGTCATATGACTTTAAAAGACTTCATATGGACCACTTTTATGTTAGTTTTATGGTTTTATTTTGTCCTTTTTGGAGCTCGGCATCCTGTGGTCACCATAAACTGTAATTGCATTAAGCTTGTGGGTAAATAAAGAGTACATAATGACAGTACTGTAAGCTTGCTTTCCATCATATCATTGTTATAATTTCGACATTCCCATCATGAAAATGTTTGTTTCAGGAAGTGGGATTAGCACTGAGAACACTGCTGGCCACTGTGGATGAGACGATACCTTTACTACCGGCTCACACACACAGAGAGGTAAACGCATTCACAGACTAACACTAAATACTCTCGTTCCCAACGTCCTTCCTGCCAGCTCGGCTAACTGTTACTCTTGTTCTTCCTCTTCAGATCGAAATGGCTCAAAAGCTTCTAAATTCAGACCTGGCTGAGCTGATCAATAAGATGAAGTTGGCCCAGCAGTACATCATGACCAGCCTGCAGCAGGACTATAAGAAACAGATGCTAACAGCTGCACACGCACTCGCAGTAGATGCCAAGAACCTGCTGGATGTGATTGACCAGGCCAGGCTGAAGATGTTGGGCCAGGCACGACCGCATTAGCCCCTGCTAGAGGACACGACGACGCACGTGACGCCCTGGAAAAACACACCAGCACAGACTTGTACACTAATGGAGTCTCATGGGCCCCTTCACTACTCACTAACCCTCACATTTAAGCTGCACGGTAGACCATGGGTGCCATGAGGAGGGCTCTGGATTTATTTAACGGATGAGCTGGACCAGACTCATCACGACTGGATCTCTTGGAGAACATAGTGAGCCAATGACTGGACGCTGAGAGGGCGATTCTGACCTCCGCTATGAGCTTTAAACGTCTCTGGAGGAAAAGAGACACTCTTACACTGTATCTAATGTCTGTGTTTCATTGACAAGCCCAAGCTCCACACAAACCTAGATCCCCCTCGGCTTGGGTTCTGGCTCTAGAATCATAGAAGTTGAGACTCTTTTGCACAGTAGAACTTGAGTTGAGACTGGATTCAAAAACTCTGGGTTTGCTTTGCGGACTCCCACGCTTCTCCCTAGGACTAAGAGGGACAGCATTGTATATTTGGGCTTTGTGCCACCTAGAGGTAAAATAAAGCTATGACTGAATTAAAAAATGAGTGTTGGAGTCCTCGTGTTTCCTGGTTTGAAAAGAAAATGTAAAGAAGATATTATGATTATACATAGGAATGATCAACAGATTAGTTATATTATTATATATTATGAAATATATATATACATTTACATTACATTTAGTCATTTAGCAGATGCTTTTATCCAAAGCGACTTACAAATGAGGACAATGAAAGCAATCAAAATCGGCAAAAGAGCAATGATACGCAAGTGCTATAACAAGTCTCAGTTAGCTTAACGCAGTACACGAAGCAAGGTTTTTTTTTTTTATATATAATAAAAAGAAAACCGATAGAATAGAAAAAGAATAGAGCGAGCTAGTGTTAGAGGCCTTTTTTGCTTTTGTTAATTGTATAATAAATAAAAAGAAAAGAAATAGAATACAACAAGAATAGAGAAGCTAGTGGTAGCTTTTTTTTTTAAAGAAAACAAGCAGTTAGTAAATTAATAGAGTGCAAGTCTAAAAGGGGCAATTTTTCTTTTGTAAGAATAGAATTAGAATAGGGAGTGCTAGAGTTAGAGGGTCAAATAAAGATGGAAGAGATGTGTTTTTAGCTGATTCTTGAAGATGGCTAAGGACTCAGCTGCTCGGACTGAGTTGGGCAGGTCATTCCACCAGGAGGGAACATTTCATTTAAAAATCAGTGTAAGTGATTTTGTGCTTCTTTGGGATGGCACAATAAAGCGATGTTCTGTAGCCTACTGACCCAGACTGAGAGACCATTTAAAGGCTCAGGAAACCTTTGCAGGTGTTTTGAGGTAATTAGCTGATTAGGGTGTGACACCATGGCTTTCCAATATTGAACTTTTTCACAATATTCTAGTTTTCTGAGACACTGAATTTTGGGTTTTCATTATCTGTAAGAAATTAACTTAAATGATTTTAGCAAATGGCTGCAATATAACAAAGAGTGAAAAATTTAAGGGGGTCTGAATACTTTCCGTACCCACTGTATATATATATCCAACAGTCTATATCTACAGTTGACTTCATGTTTCAATAGAAAATGTCAACACATCTTAGAAAATTTCACAGGGTCACAATTTCACTGTTCTATCTATCTATCTATCTATCAGCTACAGTATCAAATTTATATAATGATAATAAAGAGAGAGACCATGGGACATAGCGTTTTTAATGCAGATCATCTTCAGGCCATTTTGGCTTGGATTTTGTGAAATCTTAATTATGTGCTCCACAGGAAAATATTTGTTCAATGTACCACATTTAGTCTAACACTAGTATTCACTCATTCCTGACAAAACTGGTACAAAACAGTTACTGTTTTTCTGTGCATCGCTATCTTAGCCAGGAGGGAATTTTTAATCAGTGTAGTGATGTAGTGGTGCCACATGTTTTATTTCCAGACATATTTTCTGAATAACTGTTCAATGCTCTGTTAAGTATTTCAGCTCTGCTGGGAGAAACTATGCTGGCCAATTACAGATGAGGACTGAACGGTGACATCGTCTTTTAAAACATGTCATAATTAAGCCTTAATCAAAATATGATTATTAATGGGTATGGAAACCAGTGTTGCTATAGTTAACTGAAGTTAACACAAAAACACAAATAGAGCTATTTAAAAATGTTAATAGATGCTATTGTTCCATTACTCATGCCAGTATGTCTCGTTTAATCAGTAAGAAAAAAAGGTATCAACACCAAGCATTTATATGACGAAAAATTTAATTTTGGTAGTTTTCTATTTTGTATCTTTTAAGAAAACTAGAAACTGCGTTTTAAAAATACAATAGCGATGGATCAATGAGTAAAACTGTGACTTAAATCCCAAATCATTCCAGTAGGGGGCGGTATGTGAATGCACTATATGTCCCTGCTAATGTCCCGTCAAGCTTCAAGACGAGAGAACGACTAAACCCAATTCAGACTTATAAAAAGCATTATAAGCAAATGATTGAGAATAATTACTTGTAAACTTTTAAGACTTTTAAAATGAAAGATCTCATTTTACAGTATAGTAAAAACAATGTTAACTTACAAAAAAAAAACTGACAATCTAATATTAGTCATAAAACTCACGTTGAAATTTAGAAACTGAAGCAAAGCACGACAAAATCTCACTTTTTCTGTTTTTTTTTTTGTTTGTTTTTAATAACTGAAACTCTTATTTTGAAGACTCGTGTTGCGCGCTTGCGTCGAGTCTCTTATTTTAAAAGCTGTTCGTCTGTCCTCCATCAGTGAGTGTGTCTGACTGCCGCTGGCTTCACTCGCCGCTGTGCGCCTGATTATTTTTACGCCGTCGAGTCTGGCGGTGAAATCCAGGTCATCTCTGCCGGATCGCCAGCCAGCACGGCTCAGGCTTCTGCTCTCCGCGGACTCACAGTGTCATTTCCTCATTCCACTTTGCAGAGGTAAGGAGCTGATATTCTCCTCGTATATGTCTGTTTTTTGTGCAGATGGCATCAGATGGGTGCGTAATGATGCCTGCTGTGCCAGTGGCCCCGCGGATAGATAGAGAGAGGAGCGCAGCGGGTTTAGTCTGGGGCAAAAAAAAGTTGTTAGGACCCTCCGACTTCATATCAGACCGACAACTGCTAGCCGATAGTCGGGCCGTTGCACAAGTTAAGACTATAGACTGACATATTCATATTCTTAGATAAATCAGATCATTTGTCGGAGGCAAAATTAGAAAGAACTGGTCGTGCGTTAACGGAGATCGCAGCCGGTTGCTTTAACTTAACTGGACCCTGAATGTAACCCAGTTCTTCATCCAGACGTAATCGGGCTCATTTTGGGCCAGACAGCGCGAGCCGTCTTCTTTTTTTGTTCTGCCATCATCAGCTAATTATCAAATTTTGTTGTTATATGTTAAACATTATTATAAAAAAATCTATATTTTTAAAGAAATATTTTGTTAATGCTAAAATATTTATTTATTTATTGATTTTGATGGATTTGCACTTTATACTTTTAATCCAATTTATTTATTTATTTATTATTATATGTTTGTTTGTTTGTTTTTTCCTCCTGTAGGTTAGTAACGGAGTGGTCTTGTATTATTACGAAGGGGTTTATGTGGCAGTGATAACTAACTGTATTTTATCCCAAATATTAAATGGCTACTTACTAAATTAATACTTGGGCATAAAAGAAGATAAAATTGTTAATATTTTACTTGTAGGTTAGCTTAAAGTTTCTTCTAAGAAGAATAATGCATTGCACATCTGATAACAAGAACAACTTAGGACTTTTTAATTTTATCCATAGTTTAGTCATAGCAGCTGTGTTGAGTCAAAAAATGAAAGTAGCATCGGTATGTTGCCATGAACAGCAGGGAAATAACAAGTTTAGATTTCAAATATACATAAACGACTCATCAGAATCAAGTTTTCCGATACTAAAATGAAAAATATGATATTAATTTATTCCCTAACTCACCATAGTTTTTCTGTCAGATTTAGTAATGTATTCATTTAATGTGCAGTAGTTATATTTGGGTTTCTTGTCTTGAGTTACTTGGACTTGAGCGTGATGGATAGTCATTTTCTTGCAGACACTCATTTTAAATCACATTTGTTCATTTGAGGCTTTGATATTTACTTACAGATGTCACTTTAGAGCTCCAAAAAGATCGGAAACTATCTTAATCTGTGTAACGAGAAGATTGTGAAATGTTGAAATGGCTTCTTAGTAATGTCAACGACGTCCAAAGCGATTAACGTCCTATTATCCGGGCCCTATTAATTGCTTGTTAATATTTTATGCATGCGAGACTGAGAAGGGGACCAACTGCGAGTGTGTGTTTGTGCCCTCCCGTCTGCCTGTGTGTGTAGCTGTCAGCTGACCCTGTCCAGACTTGGACTGAGTGTGCTGCCAGTGGCTGTCGTGACTAATGTTCGGCCCAGTTTTAGACTCCACTCTCTGTATCCTTTCCTGTGCGCTGCAGGTTCTGGCCCGGTTGAGAGACACAGACATGATTGTGTCATACGCTGCCAGATAGAGTCCAACAGAGCGTTTATTGTTGCTTGAAGGCATCTGATGCTTATTTCACTTCTAACTTCTCATCTGTGGCATTCAGTCATCGACGCTATGTCCCGCTTGTCTCCAAGGGTCGTTGCCTCATGTTCATTCTGTATTTATGAATGTGAGCTGTTCCTCTGCGTTACCCTTGGATGACGTTTATCGACACAGAAGGACACTTTCCACTCCTGAAAAATGAGCTCGTGTCCCAGCTGTGATGTCATCCGCTCCAGGCAGACAGCGAGGTGTGTCAGAGTGTCGGCTGATGGATCTGCAGTGGCATCGGGCCAAGTGTAACAGTGAGTTGTGGAGGCGCGTGGAGCTCAGGGACTGAAGAATGATAAATTGGTCCAAAGCGTGAGAGAAGCTTAACAGGACTTATGGTGCATCAGCACCTGCCTGCCTGCACAAAACGCACTCTGTTGACCACGGACCGCCCAAATTACCCAGTGATCATCACAAATAAGCAAAATGTTAAGCTCTTGTTCCTTTTATTTTTTTTATGTATATTTCTATTTTTAAATTATTTTGCTTTTTTGCTGTTTTGAATGGCTTAACAATATAAACAATTAACAATTTATTATTCATTGACATGTTTTTTATTAGGGAATAAAGATACAAAATATATCCGTACCATAATGGCCGATATTACACTTTTTTTTTTATATTTGTGCATTTTACAGTTTTCCCCCATTTTCTAAATAAATCATGTATTATTTATTTATTATTTATTTATGTTGGATATTTAATTGTGCATGCTTATTTTACAGTTCCCCCATTTTCTAAATTAATGAAAAAAAAAATTCAATGTAAATTTATTATTCAAGGATTTCTTTTTTATTTGTTTGCACTATTAAGTACTTGATCAATATAATTTTTTTTTTTTTTTTACTACATTACATTTATTATTCATTGACAAGGAGTTTTATTAGGGATGCACAGTGTATCCATATCATGTTGGACAAAATTATTACAGATGTTTATATTTATTTGTATTAGGATCTCATTTTCCCCATTTTTATGTTTAAATACTTTTATTGTTATTTATGTTTAAATTAATCTTAATTATTTTTAAATAATTAAAAATACATTTTTAATGTCAAAATAATAATTTTTTCATACTTTAGAATGTTGTGACTTGAATTTGTAGTGTTTTATTTTTCAATTATTTTGACAAAAATAGTAGCAAATATTAATAACAAATGAAAATAATTTTCAACTTTGTAGTATTGACCAGTAATTGTAATATTTATTTTGTTGCATAGTGGTTTGAGAATATTGTAGTGGTAAATCACAGTAAATTGAGCACTATTCTGTTGGTGTGTGAGTGATTTGAGGCTGAGAGCTGGGACAGCAGCCCACTCCAGATCGGAACACTCACTGCTTGTGGGAAGAAAGCTTCCTGTCTCGCTGAGAGCCGTCTGTCTGACGCAGAGTCATCGTACGCCAAGCTTCCTGTCTTGCTGCGAACCACATCATCTGGCCTCTGGTACTGAAACGTCAGGTGGCATAAGGGCTTTGGGTAGGAGCCGCACACACGCTGAACCGGGATCAGCTGTCGTTCTGCAAACCCTGCTGTCTGTCATTATCTGACACGCTGCAGAACTGGACCCAGATCAGTGTAAGAAAGGACGCCCCGGAGGATCTTAAAATTACTTGCACCCCCTAAGAACATACTTAGACTGGAGAGAAAACGACGCAGCCAAAAAGAGCGGCTCTCAGGCAGCGATCACAGCCGGACACTTATGGATCGGTCCATGGGAAAGGTCACTCCACCTATGTGTTCACTGCTTAGTCTCCGTTGTTTTAAATAAACCCTTGTTATCTTGCATAAATCAGTGCAGTGCACATCTGCTTTTTAGTTGCAAATACTCTGTGTTTGTCAAGCTGATGTTTCAGCACTTTTTGGGTTCAGATGGATGCCTCTCAAAGTCCTGAGACTGATCCCTATGGTTACGCTCAGAACAGAGGCATATGGCAGAGATGGTCTGATAGGGTTGGGGTCCCTGGTTGGCATCCTGTGGTGGGAGACAGATGGAGGCATGCCGGGGCATGAGGGAACTGCGGTCCTGACGGAGCAGAGATAAAGACACTTAACTACCGCTCAGCTTGTGCAGTCATTGCAGAGCTAAACTTGCCTTTTTACATTATTTTTTGGCTTTTATCGCTGCAGGCAATCTTCGCAGTTCGCCTCCTAGTGGCATTCGCAATAACCTTATTGACCATTGTGCTTATAGAGTGCTGCAGTGATGGCATATTTTTGTAGGCTAACCCGGAAGTTAGCATCACCCTGGTTCCCTTGGTTTTTGGATTGTCGCAGAAAATACGTTCTGTGACCAGCAAAAGTTTTTGTTTCTTACACATTCCGTTCATCATGATAATCTTCACAAATAAACACGTTTATGAATTTTGAAGCCTAAGTAATACAGTCACCAGAAGTAAAGGCCTTTTCACTCTGAATGGGAAAATTTGTCGCAAATGTTTGGCGCGATGACAGTTTTGACAGTTGAAACAATAGATCCCTATGGAGCTATTCACACCAGGCGCAATCGTTCGTGGCGTGAAAAAGTGAGGATTTTTTGTTCGTCTGGTGTGTCAATCCACTTTAGATATCAATTGGAAGATATTACATGGTTTAAAGTGGGTTTTAAGCAAAAAACATTTATAATCGCATACATTTTCAAATGTAGCTGGATGATATTTGTACCTCTATTTATATTTTAAGATGTATTCTTGTAAGCATTATAGATAGTTTGTGTTTCTGGTGTAGAGCCATAGTTTGTGTTTCTGGTGTGGAGCCGTACTTTATTTATCTTAATTTAATGCTGTATATTGTGCAGCGAATGATGTTAAATCCATATACAAGATACATATGTGAGGAAATATGCACTGTTGCTCGGCGCCACCTAGCTTGCAGGCGTGAATTAGCAGAAGGCGATCAATTGTTTTGCTCTCGGTGTGAAAGCACCGTTCGTCAGCAATTCGTCTCGCTTTTTCGCATCGCGGCCATCCATGAACATGATTTCTGACCCGAGTCCCATCGGATTGCATCGGCTGTGGGGATGAAGACGAAAACTCCCATGATTCCACACTCAGTCACAGCGTCATCAAACTATGCCTTTGCCTCTTTGTTTATTTTGAATACGCGCCCTCTAGCAGTGAAAATTACATATTGTGCCTTTAAAAAGCTAAATGTAGGCTATAAATTAACTACATTGCCTGTCTTTAATGTCACCACTATTAAGCTTCCAACAGCTCTTTCAGTCATTCAGTAAAAAACATTTTTGAGTTTGAATAGTTTGCAAGAGCAAGATATAAACACACAAAAGTGGACTAGTAGATGAGTATATCAGTGAGTCAGTGTGATGACATTTAAAGTCCCCCACAACCT